AAAGGAAGAAGATGAACGGAAAAAGCTCCAACAGCTCAACAATAGCCGTCGCGCCGCTGGGAAGGGGGGAGAGGGTTGTTCAAACCCTAAAAGTTTCAGCATGACAAATGGACCCATTCCCCCGTTTATATTTATATTCTTTTATTTATATTTCTTTATTTTCTTTTTAGTTTAGTTAGATTATAAAGCTGTAAGTAAATTTTAATAAAAATTAAATCAAAATCTATTTTTTAACATTTAATTCAAACTTATTTTTTTACAACTTAAACTTAAAACAAAAAAACTTGTAAACAAAAAACTTGTTTTTAAAAAACTGAATTAAAATTTCTTTTCTAAAAATATTTTCTGAAATTCAATTAAAACTTAGTTTTGTAAAACAAGGATTTAAAACTTACATAGAATAGAAAATTAAAACTATTTTTAAAATTTAATTTAAAATTTTAATTTGAAATTTCAATTCTCAATTCAAGGATTAAAAATTCTAAAATTTTAAAATTAACATTTTTTAATAAATTCAATAAAATTAATTTAGTTATTAGTTTATTTTATAATTAAAACTTTATAAGATTAAATTCCAATTTTTAGAAAAAGTATTTTTTTTTAATATTTTTTTTTTTTAATATTATTTTTTTTTTATTTTTTATTTTTTTTTTTTTAATTTTTTTTTTTTTTTTTTAATTTTTTTTTTTTTATTTTTATTTTTTAATTTTTTTTTTTTTTAATTTTTAATTTTTTTTTTATTTATTATTAATTGTTTTTTTTTTTTTTTAATTAAAACCTATAAAAAAATTTTAGCTTTTAAAAATTAAAACTTTTAGAAATTATTTTTTTTTAAATAAATTTTTCTTTAATCCTAAATTTTCCTTAAAGCTAATTTCTAACAAAAATGCTAAAATAAGAATGCTTAATATTCCCCGTTTATTTTCGTCTAACTTTTATGTCATTCTTGTCGTATTTCCCAGTTGTACAGTATTTAATCATTTATTTTCCTTATTTCTTTTTATGGTTGTAATTTATGCGAGGACATCGTCGCTTTTCAATTCCGTTATTATTCTCGTATTTCGATTCCGTCACTTGATAATTATTTGTCATTTCATTATTTACTGTATAATCCTTCCAAAGGAATATGTCTAGCCGTTTGACCGCCGTGTCAATAGTCTTTACCTTTGACCTTTTCACTTTCTAAACCCTAATTGCATAGGCGTCCCGCCGTGGACCAAATTATCCTTTACCCTAGCATTAGGATAAGGAGTCGTCGTACTCCTTATTAGGTTTCTCACCGTGGAATACCTATTTTACCTTTTTAAACTCAATTCGACTTTTCAACATAGAAATAGGGGTCGCCGCACTCCACATAAGCGCTTCCTTAAGAACGCTTATTCCCCATTGAAAACTTGACCACCGTCAAGAAGTTTCTCTTCCTCCCTTTTGAGGGGAACTACGATTACTCTGATTCCATCCCCTACCTCGGATACGTAGGCACAAGATGTGAGTTTTGGCGAGTAAACTTAGGAATAACCCTTAGGTCTTTCTTTTCACCTTCTAACCCTTAGCATATACCCTTAAGCAGATAATTATAGCAAAATAGCAACATTAAAACAAGAGGTTCCTGTAGAGTACTACAGAAGTTTAGGGTGTTAATACATTCCCTAAGCTTAACCAATCCCTGAACCTTAGATCTCTCCCCGCATTGTGTTTACGATGCAAAAAATAGATTTTTTCTTTCTTTAACCTTTCATTCGGATAAATCAAAAACCGGTTATGAACTAAATATGTGATTCAAATTAATTAATAATTTAATATCCTATTTTCACCGCAACAGTAATAATTTAAAAATAACAATTATTTTATTATTCTGAATCCTTTGGCCTAATCCTATAGCTTAAAAGAAATTGCAGTTGTTACCTTTCAGTCTCATTCAAGCAACCAAGGTAAACACATTGACATTGTTCATTCAAGCAACCAAGGTAAACACATTGACATTGTTCCATTTGCCAAAACTGATCCCAGAATGTTGAATTCTGCTGATGTGGTGATATTTTTGGTGCCAAAGAGTTTGCAAAATAGTGAGTGATGGGGTTTATCCAAAGCCAATAGTTATGATGAATCCAAGATAGGCATTTGAGGAAGAGAGTAACTTTGGTGATCTAAATGGTTTTGTGAACTCTTTAAATGACTCTTATGAAAAGCAATTTACAATTTTTATTTTTTATTTTAAAAACAAAATTTCTGATATTTTTTTAAAATAATATTTTATTATAAAATTTAAAAAAAATAACTTTAAAAGAATTTAAAATATAAAATTAATTTTATAATGTGTATATGATGAAACATGAGAAAAACAAACATATAAATTTAACACAATAAAATTTAAATATCCAATAACTAAACCACATTATTATTATTATGGTTACCGATTTATATTTAAATAATAAAATAGTTACCCACATTTATATTTTAACATTTAGTTTAAATTTTTAAAAGTGAAATAATTTGAATTCCAATTTAATTAATAATAACTGATTTTTTTTACACTCTTTCAATGGGGTTCAAAACTGTGATTTTTAATACCAGTAACAACACCGATGAAATCCAAAATGACACCCATAATTTCAGATATATCTCATTGAACTGTTAAATAATTAAAAGATTTATTAAAAAATTTTAGTAATAAATCTCAAAATGACTTTACTTAAAGTGTGAAAAAGGTGTCTTCAAATATATATAGAAACGGAGAGACATTTCCAAAATTCACGTGATGCATTAAAAAAATTTCTTCAATAAAACTGATTTTTGATATTTTTAATCTGGGTCATTGTAATGCTTGATTGTTGTGTGCCTGATATTTGACACAGGAGTATAACTAAATAAACGTGTAATGAAATGGATTGGATACATAATCTTTCTCACTAACGCAATTTCACCACACATCTCCATTCTCACTAACGCAATTTCAACACACATCTCCATACTCAACGGCTAGAAGTAGTGGCTAGAAACTAGAATTTTGAATACGGATTTGAATCAATGTGTCTACATGGAAAAGGAGGTTGTTGAATAGTCACGTTATCTATGACAGGCATGGTGGCCACAAAACCTGATCCCGGGTGAATGCTTCGCACAACAGTGATAGATTGCAAAAAATTGGGTAATAAGCAAACAAAAGTAACAAACTCTTGGCATAAATAATAAATTATTTTTATAATATAATATTATTATAAAAATTTAAATAAAGTATTGATTTTCTATATCATCAACAGGTTTTTCTATCCAAGAGCATACAATCAAAAGCTTACGCGTCTTTCAATTTCTTCATCCTCCCCAGGTCCCACTTAAACAAGCGTAATGGATTAATTCAAAACATGCGCATTTATTTCATTGTCAATATCAATTGAAAAACAACAAGTTTTTCAAGCGAAAATTTGCATTCTAACTGGAAAGAAACTACAAATGTAAAGAAGTAACAGGATATTTTAAAGAAAGTAAATTGACATTATTAGACTATACTGCATATCCAATCCTTGTCATATCATATTTTAAATATCAAAGAGTGACTAGGAGAACTACATGCCCCTTGTCCCTTATTCATTTCGGTCAGAATATTATTTTCAAATTGTCATTTTTTGTTTTTAAAATTTTTTCAAAGAAAAATTAACATAATACTAATTTCATAATCTGAATGGAAAGTATTGATTTTTTTGTTAAATTAATGACAAAGAGTATATTCACATGGAGATGAGATGGGGGGAAATATTCCCCATGACATGAATTGGGGAACGAGAAAAAATGGGAGGGTGCGGCAGAGAACAGGAAGTAGAGTGAATAATTCAAGAAAGTGTTTAGTTAGGATCACTTCTCTATTGAATGTTTTGTTGTAGTGTGGAGGTCTAATTAAGTGGTCATGGAAAATCAAAATGGATGGACATCAGATGCGGAGGATACTAAAGGTTTAGAGTGAATGAATAAAGCAGAGGACTGCAGATTGAGTGTTAACTTTCAGCAAAAGTTTGATGATGCATCTTACAAAAAGCTAATTTGATGATGCAGCCTAACAAAAAGCTTTCATACAGGGCGATTGAAATGAAAATACAAAAACAGAGAAAGGTCAACTACATCAATGAATAAATGTCACCAAGTTTTCTTGCATTCAAACTACAAACCACAACACACTGAGAGACAGATAATTGAACATTTTAACAAAACTTTCCATCATGTGTTTTATCTTTCAACCAAAAAGAATCAAATAATTGCAACAGAAACACATAATCAACATAATTTTCTTCAATCAGGATAACAGAAGCAACTGCATTCAACCATGGAGATAAAGAGTATATCATTGACATTTAGAATATAAACAATTGAAATGATAGTAGGCAATCAGAGAATTAAAAATCATCAAAGAATAGCATCCAAGAATTAACATTCTATATCAAAGAAGCACTTCTTTTGAGTTGATTACAGATTGATACTCATCTACTCTAGTAAAAAATAACCAATTACTCAATTATGAACAGAAGCATATCTAATTGAAATGTTAACATGCAATCAAAGAATTAAAATAATCCAATAAGATAAAATTCAAACTATATGAGAAAAATTATTTTGAATTAATTAGATTGATGCTTATATATCTAATCGAGTAAAAATAATCCATTAATCAATACGCAAGTCGCATAACTAAAATACTCATACAATGTACTAAAGTTAATCTAAATGCATGCTTATCTGGATTAATCACATAAATGTAGTAAATTTCAAGCTACAAGACATAAACAGAGAGATCAGTATAATATAGGCATAATGATTAAAATCCATTGACAAAATCATATCAAAATATCATAAGCCATAAGCATAATTTAACTAAGTTGGTAAAATCTCTCAAAATGATCTAAATTATCCAAAACAGTAAATCAACAACAAAAAGTTCAATGGTACCTCAAATTTATATAAAAAAAAAGCACAAATTAAAAGATAACAGAGTTAAAAAATCAAAAACAAACTCAATCCTGAGGGATTTCAACATCACCGTCATTGATTTCCTGCTGCAAATCCTTCGGATCCTTTCCATCAACAGTGCATCCAACGGAAACACACGTTCCCAGAATCTCCTTCACAGTTCCAGCAAGCTCCTTCGCCATCGACCTAGGCTTCATAATCTTAGCAATTTCAATAACATCATCAAGAGAAATGTTACCATTATGCTTGATGTTCTTCGTCTTCTTCCTGTCACGCTCAGGTTCCTTCAAGGCCTTGATAACCAGCGCCGCCGCAGATGGAACAACAGCTACCTTAGCCTGACGATTCTGAACGGTGAGCTTGACGGTGACCCTAAGACCCTTCCAGTCCTTGGCGGTTTCCTTGGCGATGTCTTCTCCGATCTTTTTGGGAGAGAGACCGAGGGGACCGATCTTGGGAGCGAGGGAACTCGCTGCTCCAACTTCACCTCCGGTGACGCGGACGTAAACTTCGACGACTTGGGAAGGGTCGAGCTTTGGAGGCATTGTGGAGAGGTTTTTAGGGGAAATAGGGTTTCACACGGCGAAATGAAGAAGAAGCAGCCGTAACAAATGAGGAAATGAAAAGATTTGTTTGAAAATATATATGTAGGGTTTTTGCCTAATGGGCTATTCTGTTGGGCTTAATTTCATTTTATACAAAACCAACATTGCGCTTAGTTGTGATGCCAAAAATATTGGGAATTTCTTAATGGAACATATATATGTTACTCAGACACCAAGTAAAAAGTTTTTAAATATTTTTAGATTTTAGATATGTATATGTAGAAGTATTAAATTTTGAATTTGTGTTAAAATATTTTAGAGATATATCTTCAAATTCATTTTGGAGATGTATTTCTGAAATTATTTAGAGCTTATAACGTGTCAAAATATTTATTTTTACAATTATCATCAAAATTTTAAAACTCTCTTCAAACTCTCAATTTTTTTATCATCAAGTCAAAAATCAAACAAACAAGTTCAAAGGATCATCAATCATAAACATCACCCAACACCAAAATAAAGTGCAAAATTGTAAGCTTTTGATGTTTTGATAAAAAAAAATTGTTGTGTAAATTAGTGAGATACTCGTGCATTCGCACGGATACTGGCGTGTTACGCGCATTTGTTTCAAAATGTAATAAAAAAAATATAAAGACAAAATTATTTAATCAATAAAGTTTATTATTTTTAAAAGAAAAATATTTTTTATATATAATTATAACAAAAATATAATTATATATATATATATATATATATATATATATATATATATATATATATATATATATATATATATATATATATATATATATATATATATATATATATATATATATATATATATATATATATATTATATATATATATATATATATATATATATATATATATATATATATATATATATATATATATATATATATATATATATATATATATATATATATATATATATATATATATATATATATATATATATATATATATATATATATATATATATATATATATATATATATTGATCAACTATATTTTTATGTAAATATTAATTTTGTTTTTCTATCATTTATAAAAGTATTTATGCAATTATTTAGTTTTATGAAAATCAACTAATAACATATTATATTATTTGTAAATATTGTTTTAACTGTATAAATAAATATTAGTAATATAAATAAACAAATTTTGCCGTCTTTGAATTCAGACATTGTTTTAAATATATTTACTTTTATTGTCTTTAATTATATAAAAAAAATTGTCTTTAATTATATAAAAAAAATGTAATAACTTGTGCGTTCGCGCAGATTCTAGTGTGGATATTCGTGCGTTAGCAGAAGTTCTGGTCCGGATACTTGTGCGGTCGCACGAGTACAGGTGTGTTACGTGTATTTGATTTTAAAATATAATAAAAATGTAAAAAAAGAAAAACATATTTTTTTATCAAAAGAATTTATAATATATATATATATATATATATATATATATATATATATATATATATATATATATATATATATATATATATATATATATATATATATATATATATATATATATATATATATATATATATATATATATATATATTATATATGGTGCATTTTTTTTTATTATTTAAAATAAACACTTACGTAATCTTCGAATTTAGTTTGGTGCAAATATTTTTATTTTTAATATATAAAACTACAATATTTAATATTTTATTATATTTTATATATTTTTTTAAAATAAATAAAATTTTAAAATTTACTTACATTAAATATACTAATATGTAACCAAAATTATTGGATACTAGCGTTCAGACGGGCACGGAATGCGCACACAACTCGACAACCACGACAAAAGCTTGCAACCAAGCTCCCTCCCCTCACTATTTTTATGTTTGAAGTTGTCAGTGAATAAATCCTCCATTGTTCTATTGAGAACCACCGTCGTGTAAGCTTTCGTAACGCCACCACGACGTTAACGTCGTCTGCACCGCATCTTCCTGCCGTGACAACTCCTCCGGCCAGCCTTCTTGTCTCTAGTACATTCACCGACGGAATCTAAAGCTCTTCTCTTTGGTATAATTCTCTTTCTCCTCTTTTTCTTTTTCTTAATACTGTTCTCTTGATTATGTTAATTAATGAAATATTATGTAACCTTATGTTTATTCTCAAAAAAACCATATTTATATATCTACTTATTTCAGTTTTTTCATTTAGATATTTGTTTTCTAGTAATAATAACTCTTATTTTAAATTTTTGTTTTACTAAACCTTCAATCTTCATGAATGCTCCTATCCTCAAGCTTCACTAAACCTTCAATCTTCAACAAGCACCAAGCTTCAACAAGCTCCTAGCTTCAACAAGCAAACTCCATCCAGTAAACAGCTTCAACAAGCAGCAAAACCCTAGCTCCAACAAGCAACCAGCTTCAACAAGCACAAACACTCCTAGCCTTAACAAGCAGCTTCAGCAAGCTTCCAGCTTCAACAAGCACAAACTTCATTCTCAACAAGCTTCAACAAGCAACCTCCAAGGGAGAATTATTCAACAAGATCAAGTTGAAGTGTTAAGAAACTCAATGACAACCAAGGGAAGCCATTAAGCTCTTAATACTGTAATAGGAAGACATCCTCAAGGTTCTACTCAACCAACGCATG